ATCACAACATGACCGGGACACCATCAAAACATGACCGGGACACCATCAAAACACGACCGGGACACCATCACAACATGACTGGGACACAATCAAAACATGATCGGGACACCATCACAACATGACCGCGCCACCATCACATGATCGGGACACCATCAAAACATGACCGGGACACCGTCACAACACGACCGGGACACCATCAAAACATGCCCGGGACACCATCACAACATGACCGGGACACCATCACAACATGACCGGGACACCTTCAAAACATGACCGGGACACCATCACAACATGACCGGGACACCATCAAAGCATGACCGGGACACCATCAAAACAGGACCGGGACACCATCACAACATGATTGGGTCACAATCAAAACATGATCGGGACACCGGGACACCAGCATCACATGACCCGGACGCCATCAAAACATGACCGGGACACCATCCGCCCACCAGCTCTGACGGTGACCCGACGGCGCCCGTCCGCCTATTAGTTTTGCAAGACCCCAATAGCATGAGTTATAATATGTTATAATATGATTTCAGATCTTCACTATTTCACTGACAGTGGTGAAGTTGACCTGCTGAGCTTCAAGGTGTTTGGTGGTTTTTCGTCATGCTTTTCATTTAGTGTACCAGTCTTCCAGAATTGATTGAAGGATGTTGAAGGGAACATCTACAGGAAACCATTGTTCTTTTTTAACCCCGAGACTGTGGGTTTACTGTGGATCTTCCGTTGAACCATTTCTGGAGCAGTTGGTCTTGAGGGTATCCATGGGTACCCTATTCTTAAGTCATAGCCACATGTTAGGGGAACCATCCGGACCCAGCGGCGGCCGGCCCTTCTTTATGAGAGCAACTGTTTTGAAAGAGAGGCTGTTTGCTCTTCAGGCTTCAGTTTGGAATGCCTTTCTTTTTCCGAGCAGGACCTTGTAACTGCATAGGTTCCGTGACTGTTCTGAACACAAAGGTGCTGTTTCCAGTGCAGCGTTTTCACTAAATGCTGCAAAACAAGTAGACGCCTCCTTGGAAGAAGTTCAGCTGCGCGAGCACCAGAGCCCTGCACTTTGAGCATCCCTGAACCTTCACAAGTAGAACATTCCTCTCAGCAACTCCACCCATGGCTTATAGGCGGCTTGAAAAAACCTTGCTTATTGATTGCAATGGTCTGATAGAACATGGGGCAGGGGTGATCTACTGAGTATGCGACAGTTGTGACCTCGGACCATTTACTATTCTTTTGCATGTAGATGTAGGTGCCATCACATCCGAGACGAATTACCTGTATCATTGTTTTCGCTGTGCTGGCCACGAAAAAATGTGTCCACAGGACTTGGCGGCATTGGAAAAGGATTACGAAGAAGTGGGCATCGAAACAGCCGAAGGCCAGGCCACAACATGCGAGCCGTGTTTTTTTCAAAAAGCTGCTTCAACGGTGATGACGAGACATGTTCGTGAACATGTCCCGGACTCCTGTGGGAACAACCCGACGTCCGACCAGCCATGTTCGCTTCTTCGCCTTTCTCAGCGATGTTTGCGAACGGTTTGTGGTGCCCAGGTGAAGGTGAAGAGGAGGGCCACTTGGATGGTTAATCTGTCACGGGCACTGGGGGGGGTTGGGCCTTAAAATCCACCACTGCTTGCAGGTGATGAACATGTCCTATACCATCCCCTAAAGCAGGCAGCTATATACAATTTTAAAGCTGGTAAGTAGTGACGTAGTGTAAGTAGTGCAGTTCTAAATCTTTTCAAGCAATAGCTGTCCTTTCCAGGGAGATGATATATATATATATAGCTGACTAAGGCTAACTAGCTGCCGGCCACGTGAGTTTGAGTTGGAGGGACTGATCCTAAAACCTTAAGTGACACCGACCGGTCCTTGATGGTCTCTAGCTGGGTCGATCGAAGACGTGGATCGACTGTGGGGAATCGAACTGGTCTGCGTGTCTTTTTGGGCGTTGGCTTAGCGGTGGCTCAGCACTCTTGTTTGGATGCTGATGCTAACCAACAACTACATTCAGGCACCTTTACAGATGAAAACATCCACGAAGTAGATGGGCTATTCATGGGGCCATGTTGAAGCAATGCCCTCGAGTGTTTTGGGGTTCTATCAGGGCTGGGATAGAAAAGGCATTGTTTTTTCCAAATATCACACCATGCTGCCTCTTGAATCCCTAGCAACATGAGTATGTCCACAGATCTTGACCTTCACTTGCTTGGTTTCTGACTCTGAGGCTATGGCGATGAGTTCTGAGTCTCACGCCACCAGTGACGCACGTCGGCGCCAGCAACACGGGCATCGACGCGAAGCGGTGGCGATTCACGTGCTGGGTCACTGCAAAACCCAGTCGTGGGTCACTCCGCATGCCTGCAAACAGTGCTCTTTTGGCGCTGTGGAATTCGGCAAAAAAGAACATCAGGGCGGAGTGCTTTTTGCGCCGGGCTGTGAGCATCGCCCTCGCCCCCCTCCTCGCCCCTCGCCGGCCTTGATCTTTCCGGTGCCTTCGGTGCTTCAGGTGCTCATCCCCACCTGGTTTGGCTTCGCCTTTGCTGGCATGATCATGTTCGGGCGACGGATGCAGGCGCGTGCGCGGGTGCGTTTCTTTTTTCCCGGACTCGGTTCGCGGTGTTCTTCGCAGTTCTTTTTGGGCGGGAGTCTATTTTTTGCGGTGATGGCGTGTGGGCCAGGCAGGCATGGGATGGGTTTAGCTGGTTCCATTTCTGGTCAGTATGATCACTTGATGATTTAGACTATTGACCGGAGAGCAGTGGGCAACAGCTGGCTTTTGCACATTGTGTGACTTTGTGTGCCCTTGTTGACACAGAAGCACAATTATAGATACTTTAGCCCAATTTCCAAGAAGTGTGTGTCTTGTACATATATATATATATATAGAAACACTGACTATAACCACTTCGTCATCCAGAGCTCCTGCCGGAAGGATGAGACACATGTCAGCCACTTCAAGCACCCTGGACCCGCCTTTCAGCCACTCCTTTGGAAGTCAACCAACGACTTCTTCTGCTTGAGCTGGGTGACATTGGGTGACGGTTGAATCACTTCGCACGACGCAACACGCAGTTGACACGCAACACGCGGTTTCAGGCCTTCTCCACTCCCTTGACGGGATTTGCGATGTGCCTTGGAAATGGATGGACGTTCCGTGTTTAAAGAAGACAATCAAACATCAGGAAGAATGGAAGATATGCCAACATTGAGCCCTGAAACCTATGCCAATGTCTGTATATATTATATATATATATGTGCAACTCCCATGGAGTTTCCGTGTTTATATAATCCAAAACGCGTTGTTTCACTTGGTCGGCGGAGACCATATATGGTCACCCCCGTTCGAACCACGACAACCATGGGAAGACTACCCGTGAAATCCCGTGAATCCATCTCCGAAGCGCCATCATGATCATCATTTGATTTGGACACAACCTGCCTCAAGGTTCGTGACTTACCCATGAACTCAATACCCCCCCCTGCAAGTCATCATGCACTATACCATCGGGGACTCTAGGGTGGCTGCTCGTCGAAGCGTGGCTGCTTGACCCCTGAAAACGCACGTCGAAGACGAAATAAACGGCTCAGCGCTCCCGGAAAGGGTTCGACTCATCCGAAGGGCTGCGATCTGCTCGTCCCCTCCGTTTGGATCGAGTGCCTAGTCCCGTCGATTCCTGGCGATTTCCTGGTTTCTGCGACGATCTCAAGGCCACACCGAGTTTGCATACACACCCCTTGGATCCCCTTGGTTTAGAAGCGATTTCAGAAGCTTGATTTTTAGGCAGATGTAGTGAGTAGAAATCACAAGATTTCCAGCAATACCCGATGGTCTCCCTCATTCCCAACGCAGCCAACCCCACTACATCCCAGCCAGACTGCAGGTTCGGAGTAGATTGCAAACAATGCTTGCACAACGTATAGATCGGTGCATGAGACATGACCATGATTCAGCTGTTTGGGCTGTTCACACCGCATTTCCTTGTACTTCGTCTGAACTCGTCCTTCGAGCTTCACCTCACTCCTGCTGACCGCGCCTGCGACGACCGCCTGCGACGACCGCGCCTGCGACGACCGCACCACTAACTCGTCAGTGACTCGTCAGAGCGAGAATTCAACGAGGTGCCTACAACTGGCCATGGAGGGTGAATACGACTGGCAAGGGATGTCCTCAGAGGAGCTGAACATGAGAAACGAGTCGTTCGTGTGCAGGAGGAGAGCTAATTAGTCAGTGGCAGAAGCCAACAAAAACACCCGATTGTGTTCAAGAAACAGCATTTGTTGAGATCATTGATCGGCCCGGAGTAAATTTCTGGTGCTCGCCAACTGGTTGAATGATAGGGATCAACGTTGGAGCCCTGTTCTGTTGGGGGGGCCAATCGGACATGCGAAGCTTCAGTGACTTTGGACCTTCACGTCGTTCGCTGCAGCTCTAGGAATGGAGCCTCAAGGCTAAGTGGTCTAAGCGCCCAGAATATGTAAGACACGCATGCCTCCAAAAGCGCTGCATAGCATGTCTTGGCATAATCTAACACGCTGTGCCACTTGCACTGCATCAAGATTCGTTGTGGGCTTTAGAGAGGAACTTTTTGTGGGGCTTAACTTGGGTTTGTCTAGACTCTAGACTCAGTCATGGAAGGTAACAAACGCTTCTCTGTTTCCCTTGACTGTGGAAACCTATAAGTGTTGGAGATGGTCAGCATACAGACATTGTTGGAGATGGTCCCCCCTTTAAAGGACCTACTCCGCCAATCGCGAGGACTGGTTTATCACTTTGCTGTGGGTCTGGATCTACATGGTTCTTCTGGCCGGGATGCCTGGGAGCTTCTTTCACGTTTGCCGAAATGCAAGAAATCACAGGATGAAGAACCTGCTTTGGGTGTCTTCCGAGCGGCTGAAGAAAAGGAAAAAAAAGGGCAATGACGGCACAAGGCAGACTCTTGATGAAGAAAACATAAGAACCCCCCCTACCCATGTGGATTGTCACTTCGGGGAGTTTTATTAATCAAGAGCCAAGAGTCTACATTGCTTGGGGTAGATGTGCTCCTTGTCCTTCTTGGTGACCAGGGATTTCCTTATCGACTGACATCGCTTGGCTTCGCAGTGCTAACCCACGACAACCGTGAACTTAGTCACAGCTATGACGGACACCAGACCCATCCAGACGCCATGTGTCAGCGTTGCAAAACAAATCATAGCTACATGGTGTTATATGACCCCCCCCCTCCTGGCATACACTGAGGTCATGGTCATGTTGAACATGGTCCTCGCCATCATCATGGACGTCTATGCTGAGGCACCCGAGCTCCGCTGGAGGATGTGCTGGCTCTTTTTTTCTATTTTCGGAGCTGCGAAGGTCCACCGGAGCTGCGAAGGTCCACCTGACGAAGGGTTTAGGACGTTTTTTAGGACGAAGGGAATCAACGCACGGAAGAACACATGTTTTTTGTTTTTTGGGTGAACGCATGTGAAAGCTCCCTCTCTCTCTCTCTCCATGCTATGTGGATGCTATAATACAATCCTCTCAAGAGTCACAAGTTTTTTTAGAATTGGCGGTTGAAGTGAAAGATGTGAGACATAGATATGCACATTCCGCCGTCGCAAGAATCTTTCTAGGGCTCCCCGGCCTCCAATCTTTGCCTGTTTGGCGACTTAGGGAAAAAACCGTTGTCCCGCCGTATGTTTTTGCCGGTCCATCCCCCAGAAGTCTCAGATGCCTGACCGCTATATTGCTCGAGCGATCCGAAAAAACAACTCGATGGAGGACCAGCTCGATTCATCACGAAAAAGGGGGGCGTTTTCCCAACACAATGTGAAACTCCGTCCAAGTCGGATGTGGGGAGCTGTTCGGGGAGCTGTTGGGCTTGCTCCTTCCAAGATAACCCTGGTGACGCGAAGTGTCTCCATCTGACTGAGATCCTCTGTTTCCCTTGTCTCATTTGCCTCCATCCGTGGTGAAACATGTATCAGCCTGGTGATGAACCATGATGCACTGAGACCCGGCCAATCGCCCCAGTCGACAGGTTCGACGAGAACAGGGCGAGACCATGTCCATGTTCGAGCACTGCGCTGGCCTCAGACGCACCGGTCGCATGCACCGTGCGGTCCGCCGTGGAAATTGGCCGTGCGGTCCGGTGGTGGTCGACGGCGTGGAGGGCGACCGGTGTTGCAATTGGAGCGATCTCGCTTTTTCTAAGGCTTCCTGAGCCTCTGAAGAAAAGGAATTCCTAGTGGAATCCTTTAGTCTGTGATTCATCATCTACTGGAATGCAGGGGTCTGCTGGAACAGTCTGAAGTGACACCTGTACTGTGCGTAGATCATGCCTCACATTGCCTTACCACTGCCTTGACGTGAAGGCCGAAGGCCTTTTTCATTTTTTGGGATGACAGATAAGACCAATCTCCGAAAAGGAAAAGAAGTCAACACCTGGAGCTCCGATGACCTTGCTGCAGTCGCGCCAAGGCACATACCTTTGCAAGAGAGCCTACTACTTCAAGACTTGGGTTTGGAGCCTTGGGAAGGTCCACTTTGGTCGCCGTCTTCTGCAATCTTGCGGAGATGCCCGAAGGATTTGAACCTTGACAACCAGAGAATTTCTGCCTTCCTTGTCCTCAACACCGGCCTCTTCAGGCAGATTAGTGTTGCAAACTAAGTGGAACATACAAGGATCAGGTGTTTTGGGGACCGCTGTGACCGCCAGCTAAGTATATATATATATATAGGTGTTTAGCCGCTTAGCCTTTTTGGGCTGGCTGGTGTGGGGCCCTGCATATCCCTGCATGGTCCTGAACCAACGGATGGCACCAAACCTCCCATGCGAACGGAGAACAGTTGCAGCTTTGGAGTTCCAGAAGCAAAAAGTCTGACTTGATCCACTGAACCCCATGAATCCGAATGAATCCAACTGAATCCTACAAGTTGAGCCAACGATTCCCCCAAAAGCAACACAAGTACCTCCAGCAGGAACCTGGAAAGACTTGCTTCCTCATCTACACTTCGTTCAGTGCCAGCTTGGACTGGACATTGGATTCAAGCCTCTGCTGCTACTGACCTGCTTGCCGATGAGGTGCCTGACCGTGAACTGTGGGGTCCCCAGTCATGGGAGCAGATGCACAAATCCAGCTAAGGGATGGTCAGATGGATAATGGTCTTGAGTCTTGAAGAGCGTTTGAGACTTGAGAAGTGAACTTCGATCATGTGGTACTCTACAATCAGGAAGAATTCGACAACTCTGATTTCACTGTGATGATTTGATCATGATTTGTGTAAACATTATGACTCGACCATTCCAAGCTGTGGAAGCGAAGTGGGTGCAACAGCTTTGTCCTGAATGCCAGCAGTGATGGTCCACAACCCTTGATGAATCCCTTTTGTAAGATGCATGTCTGTGAAGAGGTACTTTCCATAGTTAGACTGTGGTGGACTCCGTTCGTATCTATTCAGGGACTCAAAGAGACCCTTTTTGTACCTTTTTGCTGAGTTTATCATTCAAGATCCAGTCGCATCAAACTTGAAGCTGTGGAGCCTGGCAAATCATGGCGATGGCAACGCTTCTCAGAAGAGGCACCCCAAAACTGCGCCCGCCCCAAACGGAGCGCTTCTTTTTGTTCAGCTCTCATTTTTTGGATTTGGACACATACTCAGAGTAGCGTTATGATATTTTTTTCAGGCCCCGGTAGACAGGGATTATTGTTTGGGGCAGCTCAATTTGCAAGAGGCTGGTGTTCTTTTCACACCGGTAAAGGGCTTCGCAGTAAGCACTAAGCACCTCCTGAAAGAACAGCGGTTTCTCTCAAACTCAAAGGTGCTCCCCGCAGGCACGTCAACCCGCATTTCTCCGGCACCCAGGTGGGAACGTGTCATTGAGATGCCAGAGACTGTGACGGTGGATGACATCTTAGAGGCTTTCACCTGGGGATGGGTCCATTTATATAAGACCCCAACAAGTTTAAAACATCTTGTCAGATGAACATCCTGGCCGCCTGGCCAGTCTTCATTTGGCTCCTTTTCGGGGTGCACCAGGGTACATCTTCCAGTGCTTGCTGTGAACGAAAGCGTCGGGCCTTGTTTTCGCGGATGCCCTGCGACCCTTCCTGGAGGGTGGCCCCAAGGGCCTTGACAGCGCCGGTTGGTTTAGACGTTGAACGGCCAGGTGTTGGTGGAGAGTTCGGTGTCCCACAAAGACCAGTCCGTTTGACCCTCCCTGCCGTTCCCCGGGGCTCTTTCAATCGCCTTATGGTTGGGGGGGGAAGAGGCCCCCCACCTTCAGTTCACATTGGCTCCGAAATAAACTAAACCCCCCATATATGAAGAGGCTTTCGAATTCGGTGGGTTTATTCATCAAGAGTCTACATTACTCGAAAATTCGCAACAAGGCGGCGGGTTTCTGGCACTCGAGGCCAGCGCCCAAGTCGGTCTGAGCCCCTCGGCCAAGCACCACGAAGCCCAGCGCCCACAACAGTCCGACTCGTCCAATTTTCTGTGAGACGGAGGTGGTGCCTCCCAGGTGTTGTGCCCCCTGAAGCCGCAGAAGTTGATACAACATGATACAACTCATCCTGGAAAACAGCCCCCTGTTATTACTGCAGGTTTTAGGGATGTGATCATCAGTCACGACAGAGCATCTTCCGCTGTTTTGAGTTGACCGATCCAAGTGGCCATGCAGGCATACCCCGACATGCCGCAATTCCAGTGCTGAGCTCAAGGGCAGACGCTTCAAGTGGGCTGGCTGAGACGTATAGACCGATGACTTGTGTCAGGGACTTCAATTAGATCAACCTTTCACCATCTTCACCTACGTCAGTGTGATCGCTCTTCGAGATGTCTAATAGTCAAAGTCACTAATGTGGACTCCGTGATGTAAGCCTCTTCAACTGGGGTTTTGTTATCAACAGTCTACGCTGCCAGGGCAATCTCTTGTGGCAAAGTAGATTGGCCTCTTTCTTTAATTAGCATCAACAGCCAGGGCAGTTCAATGAATGTGTGCACTTATGACTGGCGAGAGTACGGTGTCAAAGTTAGTGCATGGCACCATTTGCTTGAGTGAACTGGAGTTTTTGGATTGTAGAGATAGAAGGATGCCCATCCGTCGCTCCGTGTGCATCGGGGTTGCCACAAGATCGGTTTCGCTCTCTGAGGCCAAGGGTGGTCCAACCCAAATTGACTCAGATTCACCTCTTAGAACTACGCGGAGAGGGCCATGTGCAGCTAGTAGAACATGCCCCAAAACGATCAAACAACCAGGACCAGAGTGATGAGGCCGGACGCTATGTCGTCCAGGAAAACAGTTTGCATCGCGTGGAGAGGCCCGTGAATCCCATGATCTGGCCCGTCGGAACCGTGGAGACCCGAGGCTGAACTTCCTCTGCAACGGCGCTCGAAACCGCACCAGAGCCCGGGGGCCCTGTTTGGGGAGCTGGGCGACGGTCTGGTTAAGTCATGTTAAGTCCAGATTGTTTGCAGAAGAGTAAGCGGAAGCTTTCTGATTTTCAGGAATGGTTGGGGGGCGCCCATTGCAAGTGCAGGATGGAGTAACTCGTTGATCACAAAAGCCCTTTTAACCGATAATAGGAGCAAAGGAGAAGGGCTCCGATCCTGCTCCAGGAAACGTGTTGCTTTGAGGCGAAAGGGTGTGATGTGTAAGGTGCCAGCGACCCGGAGCTTCTGAGCTTCTTCCAGCGACCCGCAGCTAGGGTTTTGCCAAGGTCCAGGTGATCTAATGTTGCAGGGGATTTCTTTTTTAAAGCCAAGATCGGTGTGGACTTATTCGCACTCTCCGATTGGTGAGCACTTGGCAGACCATGCTTTGGTTAGGCCAGCACCTTGCCTTTCAGATGTTCTATCCTCCCCACAAGACCAATCTTCGGAAGTTCCATCCTCCCAGGGACCCTTCCGCAAATCCTGCTCCCCGCACCACGTGCCTGCCCACGCCAACCCGTTGCTCGTGCCAGGTGATTCAGCGGAAGGGCATCGACCCCACCTGGACTGTGCAGATGGTGGCGGCCATCCATATCAGTCTCGACGAGGCCCGCTCTCTCCGCCTGTTCTCCGTGGGGTTCACGCCACGTGTCGGTCCTGGTGCCATGGCCAAGAGGGAGACGATGGGAGAAGATCGGTGAAGACGACGAGGACGGCGAAGACGACCGTTCGGACGAAAGCACGGCAACAACCACCGGGGCTGATGGGGTGTCATAGAAGTCATGGATGGCAGCTGGATAGACATCAGCTGATGGATGGTGTTTTGGAGGGAAGTGTTGGGAGTGAAAGGCACTGAAAACCGGAACCTCCATTTCACACTGTGAATTCTGCAGCGACTCCTTTTCTTCGGACTTCAGCCGTTTGAAGTGTCCCTTGTCCGCTCGCTGGCCGCCCCTGGAAGTAGACGGACTCATCCCTCCTATTTCAGAAACAGGCGCCCTCCGGATCACCGTTTCACGGCGGCGCGGCGCCTCTCAGATCATGACGGACCTCAACAAGCTCAAGAAGCGCGGCTGGATGGGCAAAGGCTTCGAGGTCCGGACCCTCGCTGCGGTGTCAGTAGGGCGTAGACAAAGACAACGTGTTCTCCGCGCCCGGGGGGATAAGTGTTGTGGGGGGATAAGTGTTGTGGCGGTGGTGGCAGGGGGTGAGGTGGTGTACTGGTGAGGGGCGGAAAGGAAGAGAAGGCGTTCTTTTTTGAAAAAGAAAGTGATTCGAGGATTGAAAAGCACATGGCCTGAAGAGTCTCAGTTGTGAGGACATTGACCCCGTCACTGGTGGTTTTGCGATCCAAACAGGTGCTTTTGTCTTCATATGTTGGTCCGGGGTCACCTGAAAGATTCCTGAGATGAATCTGTTTCCAATATAGTCATCCAAACTCCACTAGTCAGCCTATTTTTTAGCTGCTGTAACATTGTGTAAGCCCAGAGATATGATACCCAGAGGCCCAAGGAGGCTTTTTGGTGCAGCAAGTGTTGGAACGTTGATTCATCAGGGCGGAGATGCTCGGTAGAGCTCAGCATGTATTTTGAGAGTAGATGTAGGGCATTGCCAGTAACAGTCGGTAGAAAATAATCACTCTTTTGAGAAAGGCCTGCAACCTAACAATCACAATCACAATCACCATCACCATCACCATCGCCATCACCATCATCATCATCATCATCATCATCATCATCATCATCATCATCATCA